ACTTCATCACTGTTATTTTACTTTGCCGCCCCACCTCTTGCTCACCACTGATGTGCAGGTAAAGAGTTTGTGCCTGTAAACACAGCATCCTCTCTGTTCAAAGCATGTATCGCGATCTCAATATTACTACCAGTTTTAATGGTCATATTTAAAGATAATATGACTATAATTGTGGTCATAATTCAACTGGATCACAGTAAATCGTTACATCCACTGAAATAAGGATTTATATTTGAGCTGAGAATGAGCAGGAGTTGACTCTTAAAGGGTCATGACACCCCCCACTTTCAGTTCAGGTCTAGCTCAGAATTTTTACAAAAGATGCATCATAATGAGCGTGGAGCTCCCCGAGCAAAGGGCAGGAGTGGGTGTGGCCAGCAAGAGAGAAGGAGGGGAGCGAACAACTGTTGTCAGTCGGCTCACGAAATGTAAAACAAATCATGAGGCATGAGTTTATAGTTTACAAAGTTAAATTCAAAGAAATAAACAGTAGTTTAATGCTCGGCTACATTTGTTATTTGTAATTCATATGCAAATAACCACAATTTATATCATTACAAAGAAAATCGTGTTCATATACATGAGGACTTTTCCCTGAATGCAGACTCAGTGCAGCAGGTCTCTTGCCCTGTCTATTTTAACCATTAACCCAGCTGCTAATCTAGAGGATTTAGGCAAACACAGCAGCAAAGCGATGTGTCGAAGTGTGAGCGAACTCCTGATAAAAGACAACGTCTGCCATTCTCCAATTCTCGTACTGCTCTCCCGACAAAAATGCTTGCTGCACACTAACAGCTTTGCTGTCTCGGCCCTGACAGCATCGTGGGGAAAAACATGCAACAAACCCCGTGGATCATGGAAACAAACACATACGACTCTTCATGAACGGCTAAAAACTGTGTGCCGTGGGTCCGTGTCCTACAGCTTGGCACTGGCAGGTCTGCCTTGTCTTCGGAAAGCATGTGCAGTCATGAATAATTAAGGGCCTACTCACACTATGCCATCCGTACCGTGCCCAGGCCCGTTTCCCGGATCGTTTGAGAAGTGTGAGTGCGCTGAATCGCGCTCAAGCACGGTTCACTTGGCCGGCCCTGGCCCGGTTGGAAGAGGTGTGCCTGAGCGCGGTACACTTGGGCTTTGGCGCGGTACGCTTGTGTGTGAGCGCAAAACGCGCCAAAGCCCGAAACCGAAAGCGAGACGTGACTTTTAAGGGACTGTTTGATATGGATTTATTAATAATTCTTACTGTTCAGTGATCGCAAACTGCCGTAGTTTATTAAAGACGAGAACTCCTCACAGCTTGCCAGCTGCGCGCCTTCAGCAGATCTCCTCATTCCTGCAGCACGAGAGCTTAATGATTGTTTATGAGCGCCAAAAGTGGCGGATCTGTTCGGCGAAATATCTGACTGCGTGTCACCACATCGCTAAGGACTGTTTGGCGAAATATTTGACGGCATATCAAACGACTGAAACGATATAACTAGAGAAATCTCCACTGTGCTACTGAGTGAGTGCATATGGCAAGCCGTTTTAGCATTTAAACCTTGTTCTGACTATCCATAAACATATTTAGAGATATCTCTAATTATATTTTGACTAGTCATAATTATAATTCGACTAGTCAGAATGACAATTAGAGATATCTGCAATTACAATTGTACTAGTACAAAATCAGATTGGAGATATCTGCAAATATATTATGACTAGTCATATTCCTCCATTGACTTCCACTGAAAAATATTTGCAGATATCGCTAAATGAGTTTTGACTTGTCAAAAATCCAATTCAAGATATCTACAACTGTAATTCGACTATTAGTAAATTAATTAGAGATCTTCAAATATATTTGTAAATATCTCTAAATATGATGAATTAAAGACATCTCCAAATGTATGACTAGTAAAAACTCAGTTAGAGATATCTCTAATTACAATTGTGACAAGTCAAAACTCATTTAGCGATATCTGCAAATATTTTTCAGTGGAAGTCAATGGAGGAATATGACTAGTCATAATATATTTGCAGATATCTCCAATCTGATTTCGTACTAGTACAATTTCAATTGCAGATATCTCTAATTGTTATTCTGACTAGTCGAATTATAATCATGACTAGTCAAAATATAATTAGAGATATCTCTAAATATATTTATGGATAGTCAGAACAAAGATTTAAATGCTAAAAAGGCTTGCCATAGAAAGCGCTTCTGAACAGCGCAGCAGCGATGACGTAAGCGTGCCGAGGCCCGATATGGTGTGAGCGCGGGCCGTCGGGGGAGAAGGGAGGGGGGACAAGCGTGCTTTGGCCCGGTTCAAAGCAACTGTATCTAGTGTGAGTACGGCCTAAGAAGCCATAGGATAATTCTCATAGGATAATAAAACTCAGCAATGAATAATAATGAGAAACTGACGCGTCATCTTTTCACTGGCAGTTTTGCGATACGTCGCCGATTTTGATCCCGCCCCAAAAATCATTTTAAACCCGGAAGCTGAAATTAGCTGACAAAAGCTTAAAATTATCCAGTTTTCCCACAATTAAAGCTAACAGGTGCTAACATAGTCTTAGCTAATGCTTAACACACACAAGTCTGTTAAAGACTAAAAAAAAAGTACTCGAGGGTTTCATATGTGTTTGTGTACATGTTTTTGTGACATATCAGGACACAAATCTGTATACTGACATGGGTATGACACAGGTATTACAAAAAGGAGGTGAAATATGAAGAAAATGGTGACGTCCTCATTTCTCAAAAAGCTTATAAATCACACTGTCTGTCTGATTACTTAATCAGAAAGTAAAGCTGCACACAGTCTTCTGTGATGGTTGGGTTTAGGGGTAGGGTGGGGTGAGGGCAATACAATATACGGTTTGGAGCATATTAAATTGAATGGAAACCTATGTAATGTCCCCACTTTTCACAAAAACAAACGTGTGTGTGTGTGTGTGTGTGTGTGTGTGTGTGTGTGTGTATAAAACACAAACAGGCTGTTCATTGTACAACTGTATTGTTACAAATCAAAAGCACAACAACAAAAATAAAAGGATGCATCAACATAACACCGTGCCATATGAACAGAATACACCATCACTGCTCCCATTTGATCACAATCAATCAGTTCGACTAACAGACTAAAATATATAAAAAAGACAAAAGAAAAGTATCAAAAAATGAGCCAAATGAGTGCGTCACACAAACATCACGGCTTTAAAATGGAAAACACATACTCAAGCACACAGTCACACACATGAAACAGAAGTGAACAAATCTGTGAGCAACGCGTATAATTAAGTTAAAGGAGCTGCTGAGGTCTTTGGCTGAGATGCAAAAATCTGCACGTTCCTCTACACACTGTCGACTGAGAATGAAATGCATTTACACACTAAATAAAACATACAGTCAAACATTAGACTCCTAGAGCAACATGCACATTCTGAAAGCTTCGTGTTTTCCCCCATCCTATGACATTTCCTAACAAATTACAGCAAAGACACAAAGTTAATTACAGTCTGGGTTCTTGCAAAGCAATGCGTTTCAAATAAACATCACAATTACAAGCAAACAACATCATATCAGCACAACATTGTGCCAAATTCAAAAATAAAGTACAGAGTATAGAAAGTGTGTGTGATTTAACGCTGGAAACAGAGAGAGTATGTGTGTGTGTGTGTGTGTGTGTGTGCTCAGCTTGTGTGGGGTGGAGCTTGACGTGTGAAAGTGAGAATAATGTGATGTTTAAATGACAAAGGGCAGTGTCTCTCTCTCTCTCTCTCTCTGCTGGCACACAGCCGGACTCTTATCCGCCGCTCAAAGTCTCCGCTCTGATAAACAGATAGCAGACTTTCTCTAATACTGAGGGTTTAAAAGTACAAATCACCTGAACATGAAAATCATTTACTCAACCGAACACAGTTCCAAAATTTAATGCTGACATTATTTTATGGTGGAGACCCAGAAATTTGATGTATTTTTTTTCCATGTGACAATTCAGTGAGCAGATTATAAAAGTGTTTCTTTTACTAAATAAGTTTTGTCTTGTTTCTAGCTAAAATAGCAAACAATTATTGAAAATCAAGGAGCTTTTTCTACTCTGTAAAAATAAAGTTGACAACTCAATTGTAAGTCAACTTGCTGCAGAGCTTTTCGAGTTCACTCAACTTTCAACTCAAGCACTGCACTTGACTCAATTTAAGTTGAGTCAACAAAAATAAAGCTCTGGCGCAAGTTGCCTCACAAATTTGAGTTGAGTCAACTTTTTTATTTAAAGTGTAGGTTTTTTTTTCTCTCAGAAAACAAAACAGGCAAACACTGTAAAAAGTGATTACACTGGGAAAAAATGCTGGACAGCACATGATTCAGATGAAGTTATCTCAACACAATTGTTTTACTAATTTAAGTTAAGTTGTAGTTGCTTAAAATAAAGTCAACATATGTTTTAGTGTAATGAAGTGTTTTCCCTAAAACAAGCAATATCATCAGTCTGTGGGGCGAGCAAAATAAACTGAAAACAAAATCATTCTGCTCATCAAACTGGCAGATTATTGTGCTTGTTATGAGGAAAAACTGACATAATTTTGACTTCCTGCAAGCGAGATAATACTTTTGTGTCTTGATTTAATAATTTTAGACATCTCACCTAGAAACAAGATTAAAAAGAACATACATTTTGTTTATTTCAACCAAATACGGCTAACAAAAATGTTGTATTTCAGTTAAAGCCATAAGAATATTTTCCTTAATCCAGCATTTCTGTCACATGAACTTTTTACCTAACAGCGTACTTGAATGAGGAATTATTAGCGAATAAATGTCTTAAACTTCATCTGCTTATCAGATAAATCAAATGTACAGCTTAAAAAAAATCCCATTTATGCCTTTTGTATATTGTAGTGCATGTTTTTTTAGAGTCACCACGTCGTGTCCTGCATGAAAAAATAAAACATCTGATTTTGGAACAGCATAAGTGAGTAAATGATGATGAGTATTGGGTCATGTTTGTTTGTTTTTTTTGGTATCCATTTCTTTAGAGTTATAAAGGAAATGTGTTTGCTTTATTAATGCAAAGTTAAAAAAAGAAAGAAAACTAAAATATCATACTACATCTACCCACTATACACATACCAGAGGGGCTTTTTTATGATCATACATTGATCAGCAAAAATTTGTGCAACTGTTAAAGAAATAATTCTGCCAAAAATAAACAACTGCTGCTAATGCAGATGCCCTCAGGCCATCCAAGACGTCTTTTTAATAAAATACGAAAGATGATTTTTAGCTGAAACCATGGTCTTATTAGTAGTTCAGTTCCTCCTAAAATATTAAAGTGAAATATCTGAAATATTCTTCTAAAACAGCCCTTTTTTCTTAGGCTCCTATGTGTAGGTTCTGTAGTCTCACTTTTACGGCAAACAATAGGTTATTTTCATTGCCTTTAAGGTGAAATATTTGACCATAAACAGGAGGCTGAGGGAAAAATACAAATTTCAGACAACACTTTGATTTTTGCATTTGATCTCTATTCATTTTCCCTAATAAATATATCTAAAGTTATGCTTGTGTTTCATTACTACACATTAAGATCTTATAAAGCCAAGCATGCTCAGGATTGTAAGCTGATGCTGTGTATTTAAGGTAATATTGTAAATGATGTTCAGTTTCTTGTTGTTTTGCCTCCACTCAGATAAACAGATAGTAGACTTTCTATCGAATACTTAGGGTTTAGCAAATAATAGGTAATTTTAATTGCCTTTAAGGTGAGATATCTGATCAGAAACAATGAGGAATAATGCTGATTTTAGGATAAAATTTCAGACGACACTTCGGTTTATGCATTTGAACGCTATTCATTTTGCCTATTAAATATGTATAAAGTTATGCTTGTGGTTCAGAACTACACATTTAAGATCTTATGGAGTCAAACATGCTCAGGTCATGCACTTAAGGTAATATTGGAAACTATGTTCAGTTTCTTGTAGTTTTGCCTGTTTGAGTTATTCAACTCTAAAAGTGCATTTTATAAAATTTCCAAGGACCACGGTCAAAACTAAAAAGAAAGTGTCACCTACATCTCAGATAGCCTGAATGCAAAAAAAACTGACAGCAAATTTTAATGTTGGCAAGAACGATCCCTTTAACGACAAGCAGTTGGAGACACTGTAATGGTAAAGGTGCGCATACATTTCCATTACAAAACACACACACATTTGCACACATCCTTAACAACGACAAACATGCCAGTTATAACTTTTAGGAAGGCAGTCAAAGATAAGAACCTTTTCCTTCGCAAGCACAGTCGGTGTCTCAAACACACATAAACGCATTCACACTCGCATACAATCCAATGAAATTCAATAACAGTCTTAGTTTACAGGGGACAAACCTCGTCTCTTCTGAATCATTCCAGAGGATCCAAAATATAGACCTTGTTGTAGCCACAGCAATATTTGGAGGTTGTCAATTTGTTTGTATTGAAAATCCTATTTGGTACAGTGCTGCGTTTAGGTTGAGGGATACTTTGGGTAAGAAATTAAAAACATCCTAGGGAGGAAATGAAAGTCAATCTTGATGTGTGATGAAGTAATGGTAAATAGAGGGAGAGGTGTGTGTTGGTACTCACAGGTAAAGAGGCTATAACAGGCTGTTTCGTCCATTGGCGTGAGGCACTTTGGATCTCATTTGTTCCTTTATCGGGCCAGACTGTAAGAGGAAGTGAAACGATCAGATTACGGACATGGCAATCATACATAATTAATCAGAAAATGTTCGGGTTAACAAACAAGTCTGATTTAGAAGTTTCAAAGAGGGTCATAAAGGAGAATGTGATGCCTCCTCGTGATGTTTTAAGGTGAAGGAAACTGATATCTAGCAAACACTGTAACGTCACAACACAAAAGCGTCTCCAGTGTCGAACAACAGAGCATCTATTTGAAAATGAGCTGCAAAAAAGGTCATTCCAATAAATTCCACATTAAGAAAAATGGCAGATATTAGTAGAGAGAAAAGGGATTCAATTATGAAAGGAAATAAAAGAAAAAAAGAACAACAGCATCATCATCAACATCAAGATACTGTTATTATAAATGTCATTTTTATTTAACAAAAAAAATTAAATAAAAAAACTAAAAACATTCTAAATCATAAAAATTCAAGTATTCACAGGATGTTGAATATAAAGATGTTTTATTATATATTATGCCATTACTATCACTATAATTACCTAAAATTTCATTATATGAAGAAAAATTACTTTTAATTAAATAATTTTTTACGCATTTAATAATTAATTTAATAAATAAATAATAATCAATTAAATCATAAATTTAATATCAAAATATACATTATATAATTTACATATCTATACAGAACTATATAGTAATTATATATTATAGTGTTATTATAAATGTATTATCATAATTCAAATCAATATTGCTATGCTTTAATATTATTAGTATTAATATTATTAATATTATTACAACTATTAGGCTGTTTTTATAATAATAATAATAATAATAATAATAATAATGTTAATAATAAATACAACAATAAAAATTAATAATAATAATAATAATAACAATTGTTTATTATTATTTATTGTTGTTGTATTTATTATCATTATTTATTATTATTATTATTTATTGTTGTATTTATTATCATTTAAATTATTTTTGTTTTTATGATACACTATATTTATTACTATTATTATTATTGTTATTATTTATTGTTGTGCTAGTTGTTGTTATTATTATTAATATTAATGTCTATTTTTATTATTGATTATTGTATATATTATCCTTACTATTTAATTTTGATATTATTTATTGTTTTATTATTACTATTTTATTATTGCTCTTATTATCATGTTGTTTTTATTACATATTTTCTTTTTATTATTAATGTTATTTATAGTTGTATTTATTCTCAACTATTTAATGTTATTATTTATTATTAATATTATTATTATGCTGTTTTTATTATATATTTTTGTATTTATTATCATTATTATTTAATAATAATAATAATAATAATAAATACAACAATAAATATTATTATTACCATTAATATTATTATATATTGTTGTATTTATTATTATTATTATATTTATTGTTGTATTTTAATATCATCATTACAATTTGTTATTGTTTATTATTATTATTATTTATTGTTATACTTCATCACTATCTAATGTTATTATTTGTATGGTACCACTTTATATTAAGTGTCCTTAACTACTATGTACTTACACAGGAACTAATACTTTGTTACAATTTACTTATTGTGTATATACATGTATTTACTGTGTACTTATGCTTGATTAAATACATGTATGTAATTACATCTGTAATTAACTTTTGTAACTACATTTTGTAAATACACTGTATACCATCCCTTACACCTTAATCTACCCTTAAACCTACCCATGCCACCAAACCTGTCCATAACCCAACCTCTATCCCAACTCAAAAGCACCACAAGTGTTCTCAAATACATTATAAACACAGCAAGTACATTGTATTTATTTTTTGACGTAAGTACATATTAGTTAAGGCCACTTAATATAAAGTGGGACCATTTTTATTATTATCATTATTATTTTTATTGAACCCTTTGTAAATATTAAGTGGCTGATGAACCTCTATATTGTGTAAGAAACACTGTTTATATACTGACAGATTGACTGTACATTATTGCTGCATAATGCATCAACTCTGAAACAAATTCACACTTCAATAGGTGGAGCTGACCAAAACTGCATCCTTCATGCAACAAGCCCATTTCTCTCTCTCTCACACACACACACACACACACACACACACACACACACACACACACACACACACACACACCCCTTGTTACATCATGTGTCTGAAGAACAGAGAGCACAAGAAGAGAAGGTGGAGGAGGAAGTCCATTTCTCTGGCTCTCTCAATACACGATTCACAGCAACCCAGTACAAAAGAGCAGAACCACAGGGGAAAATTCAGCAGCTCAATCACCTCTTCAACACATCAGACTGTGAAAGACTGATATCATCCAACAGCGCTTATCACTGCAGTCTCAGCTATCAGCGCTGTATTGTTTACAGCTCCAGCCTCTGCTTTCATCAAACTACTTAAAGGGAAAAGTTCACACAACAATGAAAGTTGTCATCATTTACTCTCCTTTCACTTCTTTCAAACCTGTTTCAGGTTTTTTTCCTTCTGTTAAACACAAAGAAGATGTTTTGAAGAATATTGGAAACAAAGGTATTTATTCCTCTATAAAGGAAGTCAAAGGTCAATAGTAAGTACACTTTTTATTTTGGTATTAACTTAATGTAACTTCCACCATTGAATAAACTGCCCATTTTTCAACAATTCTACAGTCTTGAACATTCTTCAAAGCATCTTCTTTTATTTTTAATCAAAAAAGGTGTATAAATAGTGAGTACATTTTCCATTTTGTCATTAGCTTGACTAAACTTCTACCACTGAATAAACTGCTAATTTCTCAACAATTTTACAGTCCCGAACATTCTTCAAAAGATCTTCTTTTGTAAATAACATAAATAAAGGGGGTGAGTTAAAAAGTGGGTAAATTTTCCATTTTTCCATTACTTGTATCCAACCATTGAATAAACTGTTTATTTCTCAACAATTCTACAGTCTCAAACATTTTTCAAAGTATCTCCTTTTGTTTTAACAAAAAAAAGAGAGCGAGTACATTTTCCATTTTTCGCATTAACTTGTAACCACCATTGAATAAACGGCTAATTTCTCAACAATTCTACAGTCTCAAACATTTTTCAAAGTATCTTCTTTTGCGTTTAAAGGGAAAAAAAGGGGGTGAATAGCGAGTACATTTTTCATTTTGGCATTAACGCAACTTCCACCATTGAATAAACTGGCCATTTCTCAACAATTCTACAATCTCCAACATTCAAAATATCTTCTTTTGTGTTCAACAAAAAAGAGTAAATAGTGAGTACATTTTCCATTTTTGTATTAACCGCCATTACACAAACTGCTCATTTCTTAAAGCTACAGCCTCGAACATTCTTCAAAATATCCTCTTTTGTGTTCAACATAAATAGCGAGTTGATTTTTTATTTTTGTGTTAAACAGTATATCAGTCATTGTCTAAACTGCATTTCTCAAGAGATGGTGAGTGAACGATGACGAGCAGGACATTGTGCAAATGGACACTTTAAAGATCAGTCAATGAGCACAGTAAAGAGCGCGAGGAAGATTTCCTCATTTACAGAGCACAGATCAGTCTGTGACGGGCTGCATGCCAACATTCCTCTGTGCAAGTCACAGTCTGCTTAATTCTGCCCAGGTATTCAAGCCTCTGTGAGCTGCAGGATTAGGTAACTCCTCACCTTTCTCATCTGACAACACAACAGCTCAATGAACACCAGCAGAGAAAAATCTCACTTCAGGATCACCACACTCACACACGCAAGCACACACAGCAGGTCTACTGTATTTATATTTTCTGACATCTTACAATCCTTTTTCATTGGTCATTAGCTTGTTTTCAACAAACTAGTTAATTAACATTGGACAATAGGATGCTGTTTATGTTAAAAGAACAGTTGACACAAAAATGAACATTTCCTCATCATTTACCCACAATCAAGTGGTTCTAAACGGACATGCATTTCATATTATGCAAGTCAATGGCTACAGGTTTATAGCTTTCTTCCAGATGTATTCTTTTGTGTGTTTAGCAGAGGAAAACAAATCTCATAAAGGTTTGGAACCACTTAAGGTTGATTAAAACGATGAGTAAATATGCATTTTGGGGTGAACTATCTTTTTTATTATTACTGTTTACATAATTGTTTAAAGTAGAACTACTATCTATTAAATTACACAGGTTGGTACAAACTAAAAAAGATAATATTTCTCTCTTAATCCTTATATTTACATTTGAAGTTAGAAATATTAGCCCCCCTGTTTATTTTTTGCCCCAATTTCCGTTTAACAAAGAGGGGATTTTTTTCAACACATTTCTTAGTATAATATTTTTAATATCTCATTTATAATAACTGATATATTATATATTTGTCATGATGACAGAAAATAATATTTTATTAGATATTTTTCTAGACACTTCTATCTTAAAGTGACATTTAAAGTCTTAACTACGTTAATTAGGTTAACTAGGCAGGTTAGGGTAATTAGGCAAGTCATTGTATAATGAATGATGGTTTGTTCTGTAGACTATTGAAATAATATATAGCTTAAAGGGCCTAATAACATTTACCTTAAATAGTTTTTTGGGAAAAAAAACTGCTTTTATTCTGCCAAAAAAAAAAAAAAAAAAAAAAAGACTTTTTCCAGAAGAAAAAAATATTATCAGACATACTGTGAAAATTTCATTGCTCTGTTAAACATCATTTAGGAATAAAAAATAATAATAATAAAAATCCAAAAGGGATTTAATAATTCAGACATTAACTGCATAAAATCTTAATATTTATGTAGCAAAATTAGCTTAACTTATGAATATTAATGATTAATAAAATTAATAATAACAAGGCCAGTACTTAAGTTTAAACTACAACCTATATATGCTACATTTACAATAACAATAATAAAAAAAACATCAAATAAAAAGACAAAATAACTGAACTAGAATACTATTGCCTTTAAGCTCCCTGGAAGTTTATTACATCATTAAATAATAACAACAACAATAAAAAAGTAATAATAATACATTTACATTTAGCCGACGCTTTTATCCAAAGTGACTTACAAATAAGGACAAGGAAGCAATTTACACAACTATAAGAGCAACAATGAATAAGTGCTGTAGGCAAGTTTCAGGTGTTTAAAGTCTAAGAAGGAAAGCATTAGTAATATATATAGACAGTGAATGACTCTGCCGTTCTGATGCAGTTAGGGAGTTCATTCCACCCACTGGGCAGATTGAGCGTGAGCGTTCGGGAAAGCGTTTTCTTCCCTCTTTGGGATAGAACCACGAGGCGACGTTCATTCACAGAACAATATTAATATTAATAGCAACAACATTATTATTAATAAAAGAGCAATTAATATTAATAACAACAATATTATTATTATTAACTATTATTGTTTAGAATGAAACTTAAACTAAAATACTTTCTTTAAATTCATTCATTCAGTAATTAATGTGTTAATGCCATATCAGCAGCACTGGCTATATTCATGGCAGAACCTGTAATAAATATACAATATATAACACAAAATCATAACAGTTTTTTAATAACCATTCATTGTACAATATCAGCAACACTGAAAAGTTGAATACAATCTTTTAGTTTGGAGACATTTTATATTTTTTACACATTAATCAAAGAACCTCTTTCTCAAACATTTCCCTTAAAATATTTCCTAAATGAAAACATTCTCTAATATCGTTTAAAAATGCACATTCAATTTATGTGTTTCAGGATTTCTGCAGGTTTCTTCAAGTCAAATTTAAGACTTAAAGACTTTTAAAGACCATTATTAATAAAATTTTAGACTTGTACAGCGCTAAACACTAAAGATTTTTTTTAAGGGCCCAGTGACTGTTCGTCTATAAATAGTTTTTGTATTAATAGAAAATTATGTAAAGTGATGTGCTGCTTTAGTTTTCTGTCCCTGATTAAGGAATTTAATTTGGAGAATTTCCTTTAAACAAGTCTTAACAACTGTTTTGAAATGCACTTCTTTGCAATAAAAAACTTGAATAGAAAAAAAAGGTTGCTATGTGTCGGCCTGATATGTTAGCTTTACCTGAAGGTAAATTAAGACTTGTTTAAAAGATTTAAGACCTACAACACAATATTTCTGTCAATTTAAGACTTTTCAAAGACTTCTAAAATTTTGCTTTTGAAATTTAAGACATTTTAAGACTCCGCGGACACCCTGATGTTTTATCGTTAAAATAATCGTACACAGGTCACAAATACTTTTCTCTTCCCCTTTCAAAATACAAATAAAAAGTTTTTATAATAATATAGTAATTTAAACAAGTGTTTATAATAAAAAACAAATGAGTGTTTAAGTTTTGAGTGTCGATTCTACTTTTCATTTGTACAACCTGATCATGTCTACTTTCAAAGTGGTCTAAAATACTTTTATTTCCCCAAACTTCCCAAGTCTTCAAATCTATACTACTACTAATATTGTAACATTATATTTATATATTTCTATTGTATTGTATTGTAGTATATATCCAATACCAGTGTTAAGTAGTTAACCTTGACACATTCAGACAGGTGGATTAATCAGGGCTAAAATGAAAGTGAAAAGGTTTGGCAGTGGATGCTGTGAATTTTGTACAAATACACCTGGCAAGTTAGCAACCCTGTTTTGGATTCTAATGGATGTCTGTGACAACCTGGTAATACCCAAAGTGCATACCCAACTCATGCAGAACAATTTTGGCTTCCATTAACAGTTAATTACAGCCATGTCATAAACATTGAAATGAGACAGAGCCACTGTATCAACACAATAAAGCATGTCTTACCGGCTGCATGCCATCTGCCATTTCACCCGAGCCTATGTGTGTCAGATGAACGAAGTTTGTGGGCTCTCCGATCATGCTGCGGTCAATTCTCCTCCGCTTCTTCTTCTGTGAACACAAAATGTACTTTAAACGATAATACAGTATAAAAACACAGAGCTCTCAACTGGTAGAATGCTAAAAAAAAAAAGTTTATGAAAACAGAAGAAGTTTTAAAGGTTCAGGACACCCTGGAGAACTTTTTTTTTATATTAACAGATTTGTGTGTGTTGAGCATCAGTTAAGACAATGTTAGCACCTGTCAGCTTTAATTGTGGGGAAAACTGGATAATTTTTAGTTTTTGTCAGCTAATTTTAGCTTCCGGGTTTAAAATGATTTTTGGGGCGGGATCAAAATCGGCGACGTAGCGCAGTACTGCAAGTGCAATGATGACGCGTCAGTTTCTCATTATTATTCATAGCGGAGTTTTCTTATCCTATAAGAAGAGCCGGCTGCTTAATTATTCATGAGACCTGCCAGAGTCAAGCCTGAGCTGTGAGACAAGGACCCACGGCACACAGAATTTAGCTGTTCATGAAGGCTCGTATGTGTTTGTTTTCATGATCCACGGGGTTTGTTGCATGTTTTCCCTCGCGATCTTGTCAGGGCCGATCATACAGCAAAGCTGTGTGTGTGCTACTAGGATTTTTGTCGGGAGAGCAGCACGCGAATTAGAGAATGGCGGACGCTGTCTTTTATCAGGAGTTCGTTCACATTCAGACACATCACTGTGCTGCTGTGTTTGCCTAAATCCTTAAGATTACCAGCAGGACTAATGGATAAAACTGAGTAAAACTGCACTGAGTCTGCTGGATATGGGGATTGAGGGAGAAGTCTTCATTTATAGTGTTTATATGAACACGATTATCTTTATAATGATATAAATTGTGGTTATGTGTATATGAAATTACCAATAACAAATATAGCAGGGCTTTAAATCAGTTCATTTCTTTGCCTTTTTAACTTTGTAAACTATAAACTCATGCGTCTCCTCACGGTTTGTCTCATTTTGTGAGCTAACTGACAACAACAGTTGTTCGCTCACATTCTCCCCTGCTGGCTACGCCCACTCCTGCCCGATGCTCGCAGAGCTCCACGCCCATTAATCATGCATCTTTTGAAAAAATTCTGAAGTAGACTTTAACTGAAAATGGGGGGTGTCATGGCCCTTTAATCAATCATTCTTTAAAAACTGGCAAATATTCTTAAAAGCTGTGAATTTGCTGTGGATTTTGAGCTTTACACACTTAGTTTTTTGACCCACTGCTATTATTTTGAACAACTTTACATGCACACACAAAATGCAGTTTCAGCATCTTTGAATTTGCAAGCCCCTGCTATACTTAATTTAACTAATTACATGCATATGACTGCTAAAAGTGGAGTCTGTTTTAAGGTACACTAAAAAAAGTGTTGCATGCAGAACTGTTGCAAACAATTTATTTATGTTGAATTTAAACAAACAAATTAAGTTTAATAATGT